TTCGTTATAAATTTTTATTTTGTTTATTTTTTTTAACCTTCATAAGCTATTGAATTTTTAGCTTAGAAAAAGAAATTATGTTTTTTTAAAAACATGTGTATTTACTTGTAACTAAACTAACACGCAAAAATTGACCTCCTACCTCTAATAGACATGATAAAAACTTTTTATGATTAATGTGACAAAAGAATTTTACTTATGGTTATCTCCATTTCAGAGAACTATAAATAAAGTTTTCTTACTACATCAATAGTGAGAAGTTTTTATGCTATCTAATGAGGATATGAGATTAGAACTGACTAACACACACCCGTCATTGCTCTTTTCTTTTTCTTTTTTCTTTTTTGCCAAATTAACAACCCCCAAAAAATATTGCTAAGTAATTTGGTCTTCCATCTATACTAATAAGCTTACTAAATTTACAATTGTATCGTTCGTTGAATAAAAATAGATAGTGCATATACTCAATAAAGTCCAATTACACGTGATTTTTTTTTTATTTATATATTTTTTGAAACTGATATTATTTTGAAGGCTAGAGAATTAATCAATTTAGATGAGATGACTTGATTGAAAAATATTAATTAGATCATCATACATTTAAACCTCTATAAATTAATCGAGTGGAGTAGGAAAATTAATTAATTTAACGAATATTGAACAATCAATTATTAATAATATCTTAGTTTATTGATTAATTGGCAAATTCTTATTTTACTAAGGTATTCCTTATTTTTTAAAACATTGTATATTGATTATTAAAAATAACATGACAAATTTAGATCAACTTATGAAGAATTTAGTATAGTGATTGTAAGTAATTGTTATAATATAGAAAAATAAAGTTTATTATTGAAAACGGTTTGAAGTGTAGTACAAAGGAGTCCTTGAGTTAGCCCATTGGAGGGGGCCATTTCCCATAAATTATAGGTGTTTTATTGAGTAACCTATAATATACTGGCCACTATTCTAATTGAAGGGTTTTGATTAACTATTGAGTTCATTCGAGCAAGTCAACATTGTATCTCAGTCATAGTTACAACTTGGGTCATGATTACACGGCATTTAGACGATCATTGCTCATTTTTATTTGTTGGAAGGAGAGGTGCTAATGTTAGAAGTGACACTTGTCATCTTGAGAGTGGTCATCAGGAAGGTGGTGACATCATTCGAAGATACATTTTTAGGATTGCAACGATGATAATGTCATACGACATTTCACTTTCAGAAGCCGATTATTCACTAGCCGGTTGCATGAACATGTTTTTTTGGTACATTGAATTTGAATGACTCGTGGGAATTAAATGGCCATGTCTTTTCCTCTTCTAACGAAGCATGTCTAGGGCTGCCGTTGATTTTTCCTCATTAATTAATTTGGTGGCCAAGATTAAACCCTTCCAACTTCTCCCACTTTAAATACTAGCATTTTCCCCTCATTTTACACCCACGCTTTCCCTCATTTCCTCTTTAATTCCTTTTTGTGATTTTCACTCATTACTTCCAAGAGTGTTTTCGATCTGTATTCTTTTTGCTTCCAGCTCTTCTCCTAAAGCCCCTAGAATACGTACCTCCCCTATTTTCCCATAGATTTGCTCTTCTCTTCTCTTCTTCTTCAGCTACGTCATTCTCGTTTCTGGGGAAATAGCCAAGAAGAGACCATTCCTCCTCATTAGTCATCTAGACAGTTAGAACAGTAGCAAGAGACATACCACATCCCTAGCTCGATCGAGATGTTCATACCTTCACCTGGTGATCGAGCTTGTGAGCCTCCGAAAGGCTATGTTGCCCTTAAATCTTGTTTTCTTTTTGCTAACTTAGGTTACCATTTCAAGCCATTATCTATATATACTCGTCTTCATGGAGAATCGCCCAAATGGTTCCAAGTCCAGTTCCTACCACTAGACTAGGCTTGTTTATTGTTTCAGATTAAAATTCCAACAAACAGCTTTATATTGTCCTTGTAACGCAATATTGTAAGCAAACATTTTGTTATAAAATAGATTTAAATTGTGATTTATATCTTTGAAATAATTGAAAACCTCTTCATTAGAAACATGCAAAGGAAATACAAATTGTATTTTTGACACGAAAATGTAAATTTATTCACACGGGGCAAAAGTGGATTTAGATATTTTTACTAGAGTAAAATTTGAATTTAGATCTATCGAGATGTAAATAATAATTGCAGAAGTGATTTTGAATAGATTAATTTGCACTCAACTTTACCTCATTATTATAGATGCTCTTAGTCGTTGGAATTCAAACCCTAATGAACAAGAGTGAGTATTTTGGGTGAATCATAAGATTCAGCTGTTGAAGATTGGTTGAATTACAAACTATTCGAGTAAATCAATAAATTTAAATTGAAAGTAAAATTACTGTAACTCGATTTTATGATGAGATAACTCATATTCTTTCTTTTTTTGTAATATCATAGACTTGATTAATCTTAAATTTTAGAGTTGAAGTAGACTGTTTGAGTTATAGACTTTGAGGTGCGATGAGATCATTGTGTTATTTCTTTTTCTCATAAATTTCAAGTATTATATTTTTGAGGCTTTAGCTAATAGAATACGGAGTCCTAGACGAACGGTATATAAAGAAGGCAGGCTTAGTTCGACGTGGTCAGCAGTCCTATCTTCTAGAAGGATCGCTTCTGCTTTTGTTGAACTCATGGGCAGCTGTGAAAAAGAAAGAGGAGACCTTCAATCAATGCTTTCGGGCGAGCTGAGCAACCGACTATAGAGGTGTATAAGCATCCTGATTGGTTGTCCTTCTTGTATTGTAAACGAGAAGAAAGGAGTTGTTAATCTTCATTCCCTTGCCTTTGGTTCACCCCAAGACTCAGTGATAAGATATACGCGATAAGCCGACTCCCTTCTTTACTGCAAAGTAGACTGCTCTTATTGGAAAGACCGATGCGTCTCAGGCTCAATCTTGGGTATCCGGCCTTGCCTGGCAGGTAAAGGGATTGGCTCGGGTGGGGGGCAGGAGCGAAGGAGTTCCCTCCCCTCAAGGGAGCCATGTTTCGAGCGAAGCGAGAGCGACAGTTCTACCAGTAAGGAAGGAAGGGGAAGAAGCAGGCATGGATAGATAGAATTTGGTAGGGAACGAGTCAAAATTTCTCCATTCTTATTGATTTGAGTTGAGTCATAGAGCTCTATATATTGGCAACCCAGCCCTTGTTAGTTATTAATTCCGAAAGAGGGGATTCGTGACTTCTATGCTCTCAAAACCCCCAAACCTGACTTACGCTCAGTTTGTTTTTGCATTTTTGAGTTTTGAGTTGCGATTAAACCCGGATAAAGCCGACGAAGACTTTCAACGCATATAGATAACTAAGCGCCTGAAAGTATAATCGATGGATTTGGGATTTAATTTGTCTCCACCGCTATAATATATAATTGTAAGAACCTTGCTAGACTTACCGGGCTGGTTCACATAATTCATACAGGAAGGATACTTGGCAAATTCTAATTGAAAAATGGCAAAATAATAACAAAAAAAATGAACCATATAAATGATTAGAGATGGTGTGTGAATATAAGGAGGTTGGAATGTTTATAAAAGAAAAAAGCAGAACATAAACTAACCCGAAAACACTTACAAAAATATTTACTTTCTCAGTAAAATGGTAAGAGGAAAAAATTTGATACATAAAAATATTAAATTATGATTAGATTACGGACAGTGTTGTAATTTTGACAAGTTATCGGGGTTAATTAGCCATTTTATTGGTCAAAAAGTAAAAAAGTGAATAGTTGAAAAAAATAATTATTACAATTAGAAAAATGCTAAGTGTACAGTGATTTCTTCACGGATTTTCTACAGGTGATGCTGTGGCAACATTTATATATTTCATTTTTTTCTTATTATTTTGCCATTTTTCAATAAGAAATTGCCAAGTATCCTTCCTGTATGAGCTCAGTGAACCAGCCCCGTAAGTCTAGCAAGGTTCAATCAATATTTATATGGAGAACTTACAGTTGGATCCCCAAACTATTGGAAAGATTGCAAGTAGATGCCTATGTAGTTATCTCTTCTGAAATCCCCAACATTTTATTTTTTTACAATCTAGTCCCATTGATACTTGTAGTTTTACCCTTATCTTTGATTAGAAACTCATTTCATTTCTGTTAGCAACACAATTCCCCTTTTCTTTGAAACAAAACAAATTGAAAACACATGAAAGGGTTAAGTTATTTATTGAAAGTTTGGGCAATAAGAGTCTAAGACTTAGTCGGCTTCATTTTTCGATTTTCTCTTTAATTTTTATTTCATATTTTCATTATTTACGTGCTATTCAATTAAACGTAGGGTTAACTTGTACTTTTAACTAAATATGAGTTACAAATTATAACAAATGTAACCGTTTCTCCTACTCAAAATTTTGACATACTTATTTGACAAATAATCATAAATTTTAGTTTAAATCAATTCAACATTTAATATGTATTTCATTAAATTTATGGTAGGGTTTGTTATAATCATTTTAGATTTATAAGATATTGAGTATTAGATTAACTTAAATTAAATGTCACGATTATATTTGTCAAATAAGTTGATCAAATTTATAAGCAGGAGGAACAGTTTCGTAAAACACAAGGCAAATCCTAAACTAAAGACAAATATTATGAAAATGAAAGTATAAGGACCGATATTGCAAAATGATTTGGTTGAGGGTCTATAGAAACACTTTCGAGAATTAATCCAATCGTACAAATTTTGTTTGCTTATAAACTAAGGCCTGTTTGGGCCTGATTTTTTCACCCAAAAAATTAATTTTTCGACCGTTATTTTACTATTTCAGTCGTCATATTTGACTTCTTCTCTCATAGGTGGATCTCACTTTTCTCCTAACCGTAAAAAAATCAATTCTCAAAATCACTCCCAAACAGTCTATTAAGTGTTCACCATTCATTTTCGTTGATTTCAAAAATTGATTTTGAAATGGTTGATCTAAAATGTTATCAACATGGAATTTGTAAATCAAGTTAATCAACTTAATTTTGCACAAATAGCAACTTACAATAGGTTGGGGATGCCATCTCTTATAATATAGTACCACGTGCCAATCTTATACCAGAGATTCTGATTGTAGTGACGTGAGTGAGATAGTGCTGCTAATTGTCTCAGAAAATGGGTTCTGAAACGAATCCTTCTTCATCGGCGCCGGTGCCGACGCCCGCGTCTCCTTCATCGTCACTACCGGCATCTCCTTCATCGTCATTACCGGCGTCTCCGAGTGGAAAGCGAAGTAGGGATCCAGAAGACGAGGTTTATCTCGACAATCTTCGTTCCCACAAGCGTTATCTCAGCGAGGTCTCTCTCTCTCTCTCTCTCTCTCTATACATGTATGTATGGATAAATGAATGTATAAAAAAGTTTCATGATTATGGGCTGGTGGTTGTTTTCTGACTGTTTGATTTCGAATTTTTGATGATTATGCTTCAGAGAATTTTTACTTTTTTTAACCAAAAAAAAAAAAAAAGAGCTAATATGAATAGGTTTGGAATTTTTGTTCTGTATGTGATCCCTTTAAGTTAGTTCTTTAATTAGGTTATTAAGGATCGGCCGATGCAGGGGAAAAGGGATTGTGCTTAGGTAATGCCCTTGTTTTTATGTATAGAAGAGAATCTTAAATCTCGATTTATTTCTAGATATTGAAACATTTATTAAATGATTAGAGAATTCAGAGGAAATGCCCAAGCTTTTGGGTTCATTTGAAATTGTTTTTAATGTCCTTTCGGAAGAAATGTATTGACATTCAAGAAACTAAATTCTTATAGTTCTTTATAGATTCCCGAGGTTTGGAATTTTCGTTCTATACTTGATCCCTTGTGGCATGTTTGGTAGGGAGCATATAACAAAACTGGTTCGAAGGAACAGAAAATAGTTGAGATCTTGCTTGTTATTCTGTTCGGTGTTCATTGCCAGTGCTGGGAAAAAGGAGTAATCGGTTAAGCTATGCTCTTACTTTTATTCAGAGGACACCAACATTAAAGAAAAATGTAATCTTGATCGATTTCATCATATTGAAACCTATGATATTTGATTAAAAATTAAGATGAAATGCAGATTCATTGGAAATTGTTTTAGCTTTACTTTTAATTGGAAGAAATGTGTTAATACAGTTGGATTTCATGTAGCTACTGCTATGAGACTCGTTTCCTTTAGTTGTGAATTAGTGGCTTAGTTTTATCACAATTCCAAAATGCTGCAGATTATGGCTTCAAGTTTGAATGGGCTGACGGTTGGAGACCCACTATCTGAAAATCTCATGGAATCTCCGCAAAGGTCTGAAAGCATGCTTTATCTTAGGCAAGTAATTCAAGTATTTAAAGGAAATTTACACAATGGACTGCATTCATCCACATAAACACACATGTATACTAAATACTTGCTGGGTGAATAGCTATTCCCAACTATTGATGTTAGATGGTCATTTGAATAAAAGGAAAATGTTTATCAAAATGTGGATTATAGCATTCATTAAGCAAATTGAGATCGTCTCTTTGAAAGGTCTCTTCAAGATAGTCTGGAAAGACAAGCAACACTAGATTTTCACATGTATAAGATTGTAGATTTATTGTTTTTTTTTTTTTGGACGTGGCCTATCTGAGTTCTATATTTTACTAGCTTAAGAACTTGTAAATTTTCCACTTGGCTTTATTAGTTAATACTAGAGTAGATTCTGGAAATCAATAAAATTGGCTTATTTGATTTTCTACAAGCATTTTCAGAAATACATTCGAGACGCTAAGAAGCTTGGAAACAATGACCATGGTGATTGTTGATTGAAGCTTTGCTTGTTCTTTTCGTTGTCCATTTTTTTTTTTCTTCAATGCATCCTGGTTTCCGTGGGCATGGAAGGTGGAGGTGTTGTAATAAAGAATTTATGATTGAATGTAAAAAGCTTGCTGATGAAACACAGTCTGGGATAGAATTTACGCATGTAAGATAGGACTTCAACCCTGGTTATTGGTTGCATATGATTAGAGGGATGGAAGAAAGCTACAAAAAGTTGTTATTTTTACTACTTTGAGTTCGGGATTATTCTATGCAGTAGCAGATCTAGCAGCTTTCTGTCTTAGGAATTCCATTCTTTTTCCTCTTTCGATTGAGTTAAATATAACTATTTCAGTGAAACTTTTATCAGGATGATATATAACTGCTCCTCCAAACAGTATAGTTTTTTGCATTGATGGATAATGATGTATTTGCGTGGTGTTGATGTGATAACACAGATCTTCTCGCATACTTAATCCGTGCATATTAAACTTTGGTAGCTTATCAAGCCCACAAGATTGCTCTAAATTAAAGCAACATAATCTATTATTTGGCAATTTAAAAATTTACAATCTAAGGTCATTTACCTGTACTACGTAATTTGCAATGAAAGAGTGACAAATGGGAAATTAAAGTTACAATCCCTACCACGGAATAGTGCACCCACGCTCCTCCGTCAAATTTATTTTTTGACCAGAAGACCAAGAGCTATATTGAAAATAACAACTTTTTGATAATCATTCATGTGAAATCAATTTCTATTGTTTACTTTGAATGCTCCCAGATTCTTAATTGAAAGCGTGGAGGATGGATTCTTCAACGAGTCTTGTTGAAGAAGACTTTTAAAAGCCGCCAGTGTTATGCCATAAGCATTCTGCAGATCTACCCCTGAAAATATGTTGGTTATCTTATACACTTTATGCAAGAAACAATGATGACTTTTAGTTGAACTTATCGTCTGAATTGTGTCAGTATTTTTTTACGATGGAGGCTGACCAGGTAGTGATAGAGGTCTTATTTGCTTCCTTCTCGGTTTGTGCTGGTTACCCGACGGCCATCCTCCTTCCAAGTTTGATTTCCTGTTGGTTTCTATGATTTCAGGGATGAACTTCCCTTGCAATATTCACCAATGTCAGAAGATTCAGACGACTCAAGATACTATGAGACTCTGTCAAACTCGTGTTCTTCCAAGCCTGAGAGCTTACCAGCTAGTCCAGTATCTCCTTACAGGTACCAGAGACCCTACAATGGGTTTGCTTCAGGACCTCCTACAACTTCGTATCCTTCAATGACATCATCACAGCATCGTCAACAAGGTTCAGATACTGAGGCTCGGTTCCCATCATCTCCCAGTGATATATGCCACCCAGGAGACCTAAGGAGAGCAGCCCTTTTACGATCTGTACAAATGAGAGGGCAGCCTCTTGGGTCGTCCCCATTTGAACCACCATGTGGTCCAGGACAAGAACCTGGACATACTATGGAAACCGAGGAGCGACCATGTTCTTATATGAAGACTCTAGTGAATGAGAGCGAGAAAGGAGATGAATCTGCGGATTAATGATTCAGATGTTCGTCTTGAAGACTTGCGCTTGGTAGTCACCAACACAAATGATGAAGCCGGTGGCAATTTTTCAGAAATCGATCAGCATCCTAGCTTCTACTGGTTTATTAAGTTGCTGACTTCTTCTGGATATAGTTGGCGGCCTGGAATTCCCATTTACGTTTGGTGTATGTTGAGCAATAGCATTGAGCGATCCCGATTTGTTCTGTGTATGGCACCGCAGGTTAGCTTATTTAGTTTAATGTCTTATGATTTAAGTACTCTTCTTAGAGACAGCTGATTGCATATACCAGCATTCGATTTGACTTGGTACCACGGCTGGCTTGCAGACCGAGAGGTCCGTCCCTCCAAACATTACAGGATGTATCTACATGTGCAATAGGGAGATCAAAAAAATGATGGTGGACGATTAGTTTTTTTCCTTTTGTAATTAGTTTTAATTAAGATCTTTGGTTTTTGGGTGAGTTGCTTCAGAAATTTCAATATTTAGAACCATTCATTGTAATTTGGATATTTCGTAAATGGAATCATTCTAGTCCATGTAATTATTGGAACATAACTCGAAATAATTTTCTGAAAATTTGTGATCTAACAATACAAATTATCTTCTCAATATCTAGCAGAAATAGAAGATAAAATATGTCATCAAATACACGTTTCTACAATATCTAAATTAAGTGCAAAAGGATACAGGGTTGTGCTTGTTGTATACTCTTGTGCACAGCAAGACGCGAGGCCCCCTCATGTGAGGGGGCTGTAATATTGTATAGCCTCAAGCAGCTTTACTCGAAGATACAACACAATATTCAATATTTAGCAAATTTGTCATTAAATAGTATTCAATATCTAGGTGAACATAAATTTCAAATTAGATACCCTAATAACAAGTCAAAAATTAGAGATCTACAATAAGAATTAGTTTCTACAAATACTAAAAATAATATAAATTTGTTATTTTAAAAATAACATAAATCCATTAAATTTAAAAACAAGGAGAATAAGTTGCAGAAATTTTATTTTAAAGAAATAAATAAAATCTGAAAAAGACAAATTTGAATCTAGGGTCGGATGTCCATTATTTTAATTCAAGAATCAAAATTGTTCGAGACCCGGTTGGTTCTCGATTTCAATTCTTATTTTATTTTTTTCAAATTTTAATTTGGAAGGTTCAATTTTGATTAAAATGTCAATCCCTACTTATAAACTGGCCCCATTTGGGAGTAATTTTTCACCTCAAAAAATTGATTTTTTGATCCTTATTTCACTATTTCAACCGTAATTTTTTACTTCTTCTCTCATAGGTGGCCCCACTTTTCCCCTAACAGTAAAAAAACCAATTCTCAAAATCAATTTTAATATTCCATTGATGTACTTCATATTTGATCATAATGTCTTAAGGAGCTTTTACTTCCAATTTCGTCCACTCTTTTTATTATATAAAATAAAGACTCGTACTTCTAGTTATTTTTTATTGTCAAATGGTTATAAAGCATGGAAACATAAATTTGTTAAATTATCACTTGGTCCTTTATGAATGTGTATGGCTTATAAATCTTGGACTCTAGACCTTGTTGGGAAAGCAAAACTCAACTTCGTGAAGTCGAAAATTAACAAAGATTTGAATTGCTTCCATCATTTAGAGCCAATTGTGCAACTATATTCATGTGATGATTAGGAATTTAGGAACCAAGTGATAAGGCCATGATGCTGGGAAATATATCATTCATGTGCACGAACAACAATTTCAAACGTAACACATCCATCGCTGACTCCCGATTAAGTGATTAGTATAGACTATATAATTTTTCTTTCAAACTACAAATGCTTGTTGTAACACGTACGTTGAGACTAATGAGTCTAGAGAATTTGAGGTACGGATTTAATTTCTACTGGAATTCTGAAAATGCAATTGGACTGATAGAGTAATAGATCGGCGCACACCCTACCTTGCTCAGTGACAGCAACCAAAAATTCCATTTCTCCTCAGAATTTAGGGATTTATTTCTTGTCAGTGTTTATGCATTTCAGCATTTAATACATATATAAAGGATGGATGTATAATTGTACTGTAATAAATCCGATGAGAATAAAAATAAATTCGAGAATAACCATCTAAGTAGTTGAATACACATTTTTTTAGGAGAAATTTTTTAGAACTTTCAGAGTATAGAACTCGTATAGACAATTTATGCTTGGATTGCAATATTTAAATAGTGAGTTTTACTTATTTGATACATATATCAATTCAATAATGAGTAATATTGAATACACTATATTTTGAAAGTATTAGAAAATTTTCCATTTTTAGATTATTACTCGGACTAATTTTTAGAACATTGATTCGCAATCAAGTGTGAAGTGCCATCAAGTCGAGTTATTCTGAAGAATTATGCTATATGTACAAAGTTGGTTGATAAAGTAATATCTGTACCAATCATTTCAAAAACAGATTATTAAAGCATTGAAAATCAATGGTTTGAATTTTGCTAACACTTTTTTTGTCAACCAAATTTGTAAACACGCTTTATACAAATAACATGATATCATTCTGAATGCCAAGTCAAGTTTTCTGCCAATTGCAGCAATGCAAGTTGGTCGTTTTTAGTGGTCGTACACGTGGATTTATTACATGCACACTTGAATACACGCATTATATGTTAGATCGATGCTTCTCCAAGCAAGGGGGAGAAAGTTACAATTGTACGTGTTCCAACACTCAAGAAAACAGAAGGACAAATGGTTTGATCCCTAAGAATTTTTCAAGTAATGAAAAGGAATTTTAAGAATTTTGTATTAGATAAATCTAATTGTAAGTTTGATCCTTTTTGTCTCTGATACAATGCATATTAAGTTCTCATAATTATCTTAAAATCAATCGTGTTAAAAGAATAACTCTAACTCTTGTATATCGAGTTTTGTCATCATATTTAAGTGAAGTGTGATTTTTCAAACCATAAAAATGTAATTATTGAAACCCTTCAATATATATAACTAAACTTCAGTTTACGAGCACGAGTACTTGACACATTATTACAAGAAGATTAACCAACCATCAAAAAAATAAAATGAAATAAAATGAAAAAAAGAAAGGAAAAGAAAAGAAAGATAAGTAAAACTCTTAAGCCAAGTAACACTTGTTTAATGCTTGTCATTCATGTCCATTTGAAGTCCACATTCATCATCACGATCTCTTTCTCCACTCTCATTAGCCATTACTATCCCAAAGCCAAGAAAACGTATTTTCTTCTAGTCCCCATACCTCATTTCCACCAGTAATGGCATCATCACTTTCCCAATCCCATTCAAATCCATTCTCCCCACTCGAGAATCCCAAATTATCCGTCGGCAATATTCCGTCGGTGATAATTCCTTCTCCTCTCTCCTCATGATCTGAAGTTGAAATCCGATTTGAATCCACTATAATGTCATCAAGGTGCAACATTCCCATTCCCTCGTTATTCGGCGGCGTATCTATGGTTTCCATTACTTCCTCTACGGCGGAAATTTCCGTCCAGGAAATTGTACTGGACAAGGCTTCTTTCTCTGAACTTGTCATTGCCACTGCTGCATTTCCGACATCGATTTCTTTCACTTGTTCCGATGATTTCGAAACATTGGTTGATCGACTCGTTCGACCACCTCTTCGCTTGTTTGCCACCCCCTGTGCCTTGGCCGGTGATGTAAAATTGGGATATGTTTGCCGGAAACTGTAAATTTTTCTGCTTAAATGGGAATTCCAGTAGTTCTTTATCTCATTGTCTGTTCTACCTGGCAAGTGTCCTGCAATTAGGGACCACCTACAAGACAAGACAAAAGAAAATAATATTGAAGATCAAAAGCTATATTTTGTATCAATTCTCCTGTTCTGTTCAATTCTATGTATATTGTAATATACTGACCTGTTACCCAAAGAGGCGTGCAATTTAACGATAATTTCTTCCTCTTCGGAAGACATGCTGCCTCTCTTCAAGTCGGGTCTCAAGTAGTTAATCCATCGCAATCTGCAACTCTTTCCACACCTCAGTAACCCTTCAGAAGTGAAAACACAGTCAAATAAGTAAAACTTTGTATCTGGATGTCAGTTAAAGGATTGAGTTTGATCAAAAAAGAACCTGCATTCTTGGGTAAAGACCTCCAAGAGCCTTCTCCATTAGCTTGAATGTAATTGGTGAGGATTTGATCTTCTTCTGCAGTCCATCTTCCCCTCTTCAGACCCACCTTTTCACAGCAGGGTGCTCTTCCCATTTTCTTGACGTATACTGTAATCTGAGGCGTGGACTCCTATAATAAAGACAAAGTACCGATTGACCTCAACACGAAAAATTTTGTAATTGGTAGAGCGAAGAGAAGAAAGAGATATATAGTCAAGCGTTTGTGGCGGTGGATTGTGAAACGGAGGCTATAAAGTGATTTAATTGTCGTGGCTTGTCCACCGTCGAGCCCCTTCACGCAGGGACATCCATCTCCCACGTTGATTATCCCTCTTCTTTTCGTTGCTTTCTTGTTCCAAATATTAGGGTTCGTTTAATTGTAAATATGTAATTTGTATGGAAAAAAAATAAATTTTAAATAATTCAATTATCTAGAACTTATTTACATGAAAATTATCAATCAAACGTGTTTGAATAATTTAATTTTCAATATAGAAAATATTATACTTGTCCAGTTTTTATTGGTAGGTAGATGAGAGAGAGTGAATTCCCTGGAATATAAAATCCTACTCCCCCTAAAGAAAATATTTTCTTTAATTTTCAGGAAAGAAAATATGGTCACGTAATCAAAAGTAAGAAAATATTTTTCATGAAAAAAATCAATCAAACAGCATAAAAGTACAAATTTAGGTGAAAAACACATTTTTCATGAAAAATATTGGCAATCAAACACAACCTTACTTATCAGTATTATTTCAATAAATTTATAATATAGTTATGTAAAATTTTCAAGAAAATTAGGACCCACTGAACTCTCCAAAATTCACCTAGTGTTGGTTACAAGTACACCACTCATAAAATTGAGGTTTTATATCTATCTATTATGAGTTTGAGTCATCACTTGACGTCATGATGGAACATCGACATAAAAGTTAGAGTTACATATGACTATGATAAGATTCAAAGTTAGATTACAAAACCATCAAATCGCATATCGTTTCTCACTAATTCAACTGAAATTCGCTTGCAATTTAACCATCACATTGAATTTCGTTGCGTGAAAAATCAATTTTCACACACACTTAAATAAGTTTAGATTTATATGATACTTTCGAAGATTGAAGACTTAGAGTCACATCACATGAAAAGTTGTGAAGTTCGGCCCTAATTTCCCCAAAATTGTTTATGTTATTTCATTTTAATATAAAAATTTAAATAAATAAGTATTTTTTAGAACAATTTAAAAATTTCAGAGCAAGCGAAAGCCTTACGTTCAAATCTTGGCTACCATTAATTTACAAAATTAAATGCATACTACTACTAGTGGCAATAAATGACAGTTAACTTGCACCGAGACAAGTTAAGTACTAAATTAAATAAACAAACGTGTTTCTATGGCATACTCTCTCGAATTAAATGATTCAATTCTCCTTTTTAATTTATTAATAGACATATACGTCTCTATAAAATGTGTATTAAATTTCATGCCATAAGTTTTTATAAACTTGCTACAAATGAAAAAAAAAAAAGGATAAAGATATATGTACAAAATGTTTGACAAACTCGACAAGTGACAGCCCCCTATTCACAGCCGTCCTTCTAATAGAGAATGGCCACTTGTTGAGTTTGCCAAACATTCTGTAGATGGATTTGCTAATATAGCATTGTCCAAAAAGAAAAAGGAAATATCTAGCCTTTTGGTCAACCATAAAAGACAAAGTAGCGTTGGGCACCATAAGTTTTTATAAACTTGCTACAAATGGAAAAAAAAAAAAAGGATAAAGATATATGTACAAAATGTTTGACAAACTCGACAAGTGGCAGCCCCCTATCCACAGCCGTCCTTCTAATAAGGGATTGCCACTTGTTGAGTTTGCCAAACATTTTGTAGATGGATTTGCTAATATAGCATTGTCCAAAAAGAAAAAGGAAATATCTAGCCTTTTGGTCAACCATAAAAGACAAAGTAGCGTTGGGCAGTCTAAATCTTAGTGGGACAAATATTAAAGATTAGATGCATATCAATACAACAAGTTACTAATAATAACTGGCTAAGCCGCTATGTAATTAAAATTAATAAATTTATGTTAGCTGTCAATCAACTACAATTCCTTCATTTCATTGAATTATGGTACGATTGTAAACATGAAATTTGTATGGAAAGAAAATAAATTTTAGGTAATTCAATTGTTTAAAATTTATTTATATGGAAATTATCGATTAAATATGTTTGATTGATAATTTTTAACCTAGAAAAATATTATACTTATTCGTTTTTTATTGGTATGTAGATGAGGGAGAGTGAATTCCCTAAAAAAATAAAATCCTATCCCCAACAATATTTTCTTGATTTTGGAGAAAATATGCTCACGTGACTAAAAGTAGAAAAATATTTTTCATGAAAAAAAAGCAATCAAACAGCATGGAAGTAGAAATTTAAATAAAAAATATATTTTTCATGAAAAATATTGACAATAAAACGCACCCTTATGAAATTTAAGCGGTCGTAATCTAGGTGGGACAAAATTGATAAGTGCTTTTATGATAGCCATCCACCTCTGCTACTGTATTTGCTTTTTGGAGCTGATAGAAAGAAAATAAATTTTAGGTAATTCAATTGTTTAAAATTTATTTGTATGGAAATTATCGATTAAATGTGTTTGATTGATAATTTTCAACCTAGAAAAATATTATATTTGTTCGTTTTTTATTGATATGTAGATGAGGGAGAGTGAATTCCCTAAGAAAATAAAATCCTATCCCCAACAATATTTTCTTGATTTTGGAGAAAATATGCTCACGTGACTAAAAGTAGAAAAATATTTTTCATGAAAAAAAAGCAATCAAACAGCATAGAAGTAGAAATTTAAATAAAAAATATATTTTTCATGAAAAATATTGACAATAAAACGCACTCTTATGAAATTTAAGCGGTCGTAATCTAGGTGGGACAAAATTGATAAGTGCTTTTATGATAGCCATCCACCTCTGCTACTGTATTTGCTTTTTGGAGCTGATATTTACTGCTACATTTGTATGGCCAAACATAACCTTACGTTTGCCTTTGCTCTTGCATGGGACAGCCCCTTTCGGTGTTCTTGACGTGTAATAGCAGCGTTCCCCAAATCATTTAAAGCACCTTTGTTTGAGTTTCATTCTCTGAAAATTCTTTCTTTTTTTTTTCTTTTTTCCTTTTTAATCTATTTTTAATAATACATTCTCTAAATAAAATAAATTTATATGTAAAATCAAAACATTTTCTTACTTTTTAATTACGCATTCTCCAAAAAATAATTTATTATTACAATATTTATTCCAAAATAAAAATAAAAATTGGGACTTAAAAAGAGACTTAGTAAGCAGTACCTATGAATTTATTTTCCTAAAATAGAAGGTCAATGACAGTCATATTTGCATCTTTGGCTATCTTAAAATAAGTAAAAAATAAAATTTTAAGTAACATTTTACTCTTGTTGTGTTTAAATATGTATGTTAATATTTTTGTGATATTTAACCTTCGTTTGGTAGCAATTTTTCATCCAAAAAAATCAATTTTTTGATCGTTATTTCATCATTTCAGCCATCATTTTTTACTTCTTCACTCACGGGTGGGATCCACTTTTCTTTCTAATAATCAAAAAATTAATTTTCATAATCACTACCGAACAGGCCTTTAGTAATTAAGAATTGAGGTAAGATCACAAATTATCGTAGATATTGATTCAATGTAATTAATACCAAGCTATTTTTATTAAATAATTAACGGTGTTTCGTGGATTTTATAAAAGGTACATTTTTTTTGTAACTAGAAATGTCAAATCGGTGAATTTGGTACAATTCGAGTTGCATTTTCTTGTAGGTTACCTAAACTTTACTCATCCGCAAATGTGTTTATGTCAGACCACCTGAATACCCAAAGATTATGTGAAGAAATCTTGAAGAAAAAAAAAAAATTAATAATAATAATAATAGAAATTCGAAATATATAATGTCTGAAAATAAAGAAGACAATGTTCTTTTATCAATTTTATTTGAAAGACAAATTTATGGTAACGTAAGCATTTATAATCTCAAATTCAAGTAACTTTCATGCCCAAATTTTGGGCAATTTCTTTAAAGGAAATTAGTCCAGCACAGTCAGTCCCAAATCAAGAAAATAAATTAATAACTTCAATTATAATATATTTTTTACGAGTAAATTATAAGTAAAACTCGATTGTAAAATGTTTGCAACTTTTTGTTCTAAAAGTGACATGATACATTTATACAACCATGTGATCAAGTTGTTACCGTCATTGCAATCGACCGTGTTAAATTGTCTACTGAAACCCGACATGAAAATTTTGTTAGTGCAAGGTGTGTACACACCTCAGGATATCAAGGTGTTAATTTCTCTTTTATAAAGTGTTTGATACGTTTTGTTTTAACAGTGACATGATATGTCACCCTTTATTTCAGAAATAACAAATCTTGTCAAAGATAAATATCATCTAATTGTATATTTGAGAATTATATATGATTCAAATTCATATAGAAAAACGGCTATTCCTTTTATGTGATTGCTGAAGCACAAAAACAATGAGGTTAACAACGTCGTTTTACTCCATTAAACTTTTTTGTCTTACAGTTAAATTTCTATATAAGTGACATGGTATGTCACTTTCTATTTCAAAAGTGACTGTTAGCATTTTTTCAATTCAAAACTAAAAATAGCATATATATATATATATAACTATCTAATATATATTTCATTATATAGTAGCAAGAAAATTGAAAGATAATTCAAAATTAAAAACTCAAATGCTCGAGTTTCATAAATCTTCCAAACCTTTTTTTCTTGTGGTTCCTTTCTTTATATTAACTGTTGACCTCGCAAATTGGACCCTCCACATGGTCAATCGATAGCTACTCCACGTATTCCTCCCTGCACACAGTCAACGCACGGTCAGATGCACACGGTCGGAACCAATGGGGGAGGTGGCAGCCGCATGCACTGCGACGATCAAATTAGCCTCAGGTGATCAGAACAATATCAAGATTGTGCAAAATAATGGGGAGGAGAATATATATTTGCTTGTTATGGAAAGTTATGTTGTAAGAGTTTCATTACCTTTGTCAAACCTTGGGTATTTATAGGTGAGGAGAACCGTTGGATGTGGGACAC